GTAGTGTAGAGGATGGATTGGAGAGGGGTAGAAATAACTCTGAGGTTAAATGACTACTTATTCCTAGTTTGTCATACAGAGAGGAAATCTGAGGAAACCCTAGCTTCTGGGAAAGGAGATTTCAAAGGGTTCAGAGGAAAGCCAAGTTGGAGCTCCTGGACTAAAATGCTGTAGAAGTCAGTCCGAGAGGGATGGGAGATGGGCAATAATAAAATTTTGAAGACATAATAATGATAGCACCTTAAATTTTGCAAAGAACTTTACACGTATGTCTCATTTGATCCCAACAACAGCTCTATGAGGTTGGCACTATTGTGATCCCCATTTTACCAACAAGAAAATTGAAGTTGAAAGAGTGACTTGGTCAAAATCCCAAAGCTAGTAATATCTGAGGCAGGAATCAAACTCAGGTCTTCCTGACTCAAAATCTAATGACATCCACTGTGTCACTTAGCTAGAACAGTTCCAATGACACAAAGTGAACAATTCCAATGAAAAGGAAAAAAACAGGATTTGTCTGAAAAGAACCTATGTGGACGTACAGGGAAGTCATCAACTGACTCCCCTTTTAAAAAGAGATGTACAGAAGATGGACATAAGGCCAGGATGAATAAAAGAACGTGACCCAGTTCTGTAAAACAAAAAACAAAACAAAAACAAAAACGGCATCAGGAAGGCTAAGAAATTGGAATGAGCTGAGATTAGAGAGGGAAGCTTGGGCTCTTGTCCACTATGATAAAATACAAACTTCTTTATTTGGGCTTTAATGCCCATCATGACCTTGCTCTAACCTAGTTTTTCCAAGCTTATAAATGACTTCCTTCACACATTCTAGTTTAGCCAAATTGCCCTTGCTAGCTAATCCTCAGATGACATTTATCTCTTATCTATGTGCCTTTGCAGAAGCTGAGCCCCATACATGTAGTGCCCCTCCTCCCCCAATCTTTGCCTGTTAGCTCTCTAGCTTCCTTCAAAGCAAGAGACCTCAAGTGGCATCTTCTATAGGTCTTACATAGAAGGTCTTTCCTCATATCCCCAAGTTGCTAATGCCTCTCCTCCTGAAATTACCTTGGATTCACATGGTATCCATTTTATAGCTACTTTTATGTTGATATGCTATTTCCCTTCAATCAATATCAATCAATCAATCAATAAACATTTATTAAGTGCCTACTATGTGCCAGGCACTGTGCTAAGCACTGGGGATACCAAAAGAGGCAAAAGACAATCCCTGCCCTCAAGGAGCTACAATCAAATGGAAGAGACAACATGCAAACAAATATATACAGAGCAAGCTATATACAGGATAAATAGGAAATAATTAAAACAGAGGGAAGGCACTAGAATTAAGAGGGGTTGGGAAAGGCTTCTAGATAGAATGTAAGTTCCTTGAAGGCAAGGATTGTTACCCTAGTCTCCTGCTTTGACAATGTAGAGAAGTTAGCCAAGTATGAAATAGCTAGGGATGGATAATAATAGTACAAAAATAAGAAGTTAGCATTTATATAGTGCTTTGATGTTTACAAAGCGCTTTACATATATTAATTCATTTAATCCTCACTAACAACCTTATGATGGATGATTGAAGGAATAAAATGAATTTTTTCTCTTGTAATTAGGCCACTTCCTATTTCACATTTGTCTAAGGTTTTAAAAGGGGCATCTCTTCTGTGATTGAACTAAGCTGTAATCCACAGACTCATTCATAATTACTGTTCAACAGAAATAGCTGTTCTTGTGTTCAGCAGCAAATCTGGCTCCTTTCTTCCCCTTCTCAAAGCAAATTTGAACAGAGAATTTTAACAAAGCACCTGCCTTTTAAAGCCTCCTGACCTAGAAGTCTTCACCAGGTCATGCGCCTACTCTGTGCAAAATGAAATTGTGTGCAGTTGCAACATGTCCTGGGACAGGGGAGTAAAACACAGCCATCCAGTGCTACTTTCATTTATTCTCTGCTGATAGATAACAACAGCTGATGTTTATATAAGACTTTAAAGTTAAGGAAGCCCTCTACCCACATTCTCATTTGAATTTCACAAAAACTCTATAAGATAGGGACTACCAGTATCATCATCTCCAAGTTTTTATTTGTTTTTTAAATAGTTGAGGAAACAGATTCAAAGAGTTTCAATAATATGCCTGTGGTCGCACAACCAGTAAATACCAGGGATAGGATTTAAACCTAGATCTTTGGGACTCCAAGTCTAAGACTCTATAATAACAATTTGCCTCACAAGGATGTACTGAAAGTTCCATGATAATGACTAGATGCCCAATACCACTATTGCTCTTTAAAGAGAAGAGAGGTGGTGTATACTATGAACCACTCATTCTCCCCTTTGTTTGAGCCTGTGGAAGGGAAGAGAGAATCTAGAAGGTAAAGATTTCCCTACTCCTTACCATAATTAAAGAAAAAGCGGCTCACTAACATTTCCCCCAACACATCATAGTTTATGTAAGAATCCTCATAAACAATTAAAATTGTTCTTGGCTTAAATGATGATGTGGAGTTGTGACTTCCTATTTTGACAAATGCTTCAATATCTTATTATTACTGATCATCAGAGAAATCAACACTATACCTTACCATTTAACATCAATGACTGGCACTGATTAATCATTTTTAAAGGGGAAATATTTTGTTGATGTATTTTGTTTTTATATCACTTTAATTTATAAATATATCCATCTTGCTCCCCACCTAAAGGGCCAACCCTTGCAATAGAGATTTTAAAAAGAAAGAGGAAAAGCAATTCTTGGCACAATGGATAGAATGTTGGACCTGGAGTCAGGAAGATCTAAATTCATATTTGACCTCAAATAATTTGCTAATGGCATGACCCTGGGCAAGTCATTTAACCTGTCTAGCTTGGTCTCCTGCTCTATAAAATGGTGATGATGATAGCACCTTCCTCATGGGTTGTTGTGAGGATAAAATGAAATATTTCTAAAATGCTTTGCAAAACTTAAAGTGCTAAGTAAATGCTTATTGTTATTACTTTAACTAGCCATTTCAGATGGTATTATTATATGCAATATCCCACAGCCATAATTCCTCACCTCTTCAAAAAGGGGAGAAAAGTACTTTTTTTCTTTTAAAAATTATTTATTTATTTGTTTTAGTTTTCAATATTCACTTCTATAATATTTTGAGTTCTAAATTTTCTCCTCCTCCCTCCGCTCTCTCCTCCCCAGGATGGTGTGCAATCTGATATAGGCTATACATGTACAATCATATTAAACATTTCCACATTAGTTATGTTGTAAAGAAGAATTAGAACCAAAGGGGAAAACCACGAGAAAGAAGAAACAAAACAAACCAACAAAAAAAGCGAAAATTGTATGCTTCAATCTGCATTCAGATTCTCTGGATGTGGACAGCATTTTCCATCATGAGTGTTGTGCAATTGTCTTAGATCCTTGTATTGCTGAGAAGAGTTAAGTCTATCAAAGTTAGTCATTGCACAACATGGCTATTACTGTGTACAATGTTTTCCTGCTTCTGCCCACTTCTCTCAACATCAGTTCATTTCAGTCTTTCCAGGTTTCTGAAGTCCTCCTGCTCATAATTTCTTATGGGACAATAATATTCCATTACATTAATATACTATAACTTATTTGGCCATCCTCCAATTGATGGGCATCCATTCAATTTCCAGTTCTTGGCCACCACAAAAAGAACTGCTATAAATATTTTGGTACATGTGAGTCCTTTTCCCATTTTTATGATCTCTTTGGGATACAGACCAAGAAGTGGTATTGCTAGGTCAAAGGATGTGCCCTTGGGGCATAGTTCCAAATTGCTCCCCAGAATGGTTGGATCAGTTCACAACTCCACCAACAATGCGTTAGTGTTCTAATTTCCCTACATCTTCTCCAACATGTATCATTTTTCTGTTTTGTTATGTTAGCCAATCTGATAAGTGTGCTGTGGTGGAGAGGTACATTTTTTTCATCTCCTCTCTGGAGCCAAACTTGGTCATTATAATTACATAGCACTCAGTCAGTCATATTTTAAAATTCATTTTGATTAAACTATTATAATTGTATAATTGTATCTAATTGTATCATTGTATACTTCACATCAGATCATATCAACCTTCCCATGCTTTCATTTTTTGTTTTTGTAACTCTAGTGCCTAATATAAATGGGGTGATGTGATGCAGAGGAATGTATGTAAGACATGCTTTCAAGTTTAATTTGCATTATTAACATTTTCTCCAGCACTTTCTTAGGTCTAGAGACAATCAACAAAAACAGTAAATCAAGCTCTGATTTGTAGCGCTTATAGATTTCTTAGGTGTTTTGTTTTTGTGTGTGTCTGTTTTGTTTTGTTTTGTTTTGTTTTAGGCATTGGGGTTAAATGACTTGCCCAGGGTCACACAGCTAGTAAGTGTCAAGTGTTTGGTCTGAGGTCAGATTTGAACTCAGGTCCTCCTGACTTCAGGGCCAGTGCTTTATCCACTGCGTCACCTAGCTGCCCTGATTTCTTTGGTGTTAAATGCTCACACTGGCAATATCCTGGCCTGTTTGAGCTAACTCCAACACACCCTGCACATATACACCATTCCCCCACATAGTAGCTGCCTAATAAATTCTTGTTGCTCATTTAAGAGTTCTCTTTCTATCTATAGCTGTAGAGGCTATCTTTTTTATCTTATGCTAATCTATTTTGGGTAGAGCCTTTTATATTCCTGTCACATATCCATTTAGAGCTTATTGTGGTATATGGTATAAGAGGTTGCTTACTTTAATCATTAAAGTAAAATGGTTACTTTTAGCAGGTATTAGAGTGGTTATTACTAATGGAAAACCTTTCTTCCTGGATAAAGTAAAAGATACATGTAGATAATTTGATTTTTCTGAGGGATGACAGGTACTTGTGGAGGCAAGTGAGAATTGCATATTAGCCCTAAAGGGGCAGAGGAGGGAAAAGGTGTCTTTAGTTACATTTCCTACATTATTTACCTATGTGTTTGTGCTTTCTTTTACTTTCAAGGGTCTATGCCAATAGGCAATTTTAGGAGCAAGAACAAGATGGCTATTTTGCCACTTCAGTTACCACTTATGACTTTACCATCACTGTTGACTACCTTGATTGTATGGGCTTCTACAAGGTGCCAAAGCATGGAAACAAACTCTCCAAGAGCTATTAATGGAGCTCCATTTCCTTGGAATAATATGCGGCTTCCCAACTACATCTTTCCAATTCATTATAATCTTATGATCCATGCCAATCTCACCACTTTGACATTCTCGGGAGCCACTGAAGTAGAAATCATCGTCAATCAGCCCAGCAGTTTCATCGTTATGCATAGCCAACGCCTGCAGATCACCAAGGCAACCCTCAGAGAGAAAAGCCAAGATAATCGGGTAGAGCAGCCCCTGACTGTTCTGGAGTATCCATCCAATCACCAAATTGCACTTATAGCCGATCAGCCCCTTCAGATTGGACGTCAGTACATAGTTACCATTGAATATGCTGCCCCTCTTTCTGAATCTTTGCATGGATTTTATAAAAGTTCTTATAGAACTCAGAAGGGAGAAGTGAGGTAATTTTTTTTTCTAAAATAAAAAGGTTTAATGTGTTGGACCCAATGATTTAAAAAAAAATTCAATAAGATTTTCCTTTAAGTTTCTTTCTCTTTGTCTCCACTGTTATTCTTTACTCGTGGAATTGCTGGTGTTGAGAGTCAGAGAGTTGGGAGGGAGGAGGGTGGAGGCATATATTACTTTGACTTATAACTATAAATTCAGTCTCTTAGTTTTTAATTTTACTTGGTTTAATTATAGGATGCTAGCATCCACACAGTTTGAGCCAACGGCAGCAAGGATGGCCTTTCCCTGCTTCGATGAACCTGCCTTTAAAGCTAGTTTCTCAATCAAGATTAGAAGAGAACCACGGCACCTTGCTATCTCCAACATGCCATTAGTAAGCTTGTATTCCTTTATTTTTTACTCTAAGAATAAAAATGAGAAATGGACGTAGCCTTGTGGTGCTTCAGTAAGAGCTCACATTCAATCCATGTTTTTATTCTTGTCTATTTAAAATTTTTTTTTCACCGAGTTTTTTTTATATCTCTATCAAATCGGTCTCTTTGCATCTAGAATCCCTCTTGAAGTTAAAGATGTCTTAGTTTTCTTCCTGAAAATTGCTTCGTTATTTAAGGGGTAGTCTGGATGAGTATCTGTATCATTTCAAGTCACTGATGCAAAATTAGAGGGAAGAAGGGAATGCTTTAGAAGATTTTATGTAATTTTTAAAAAAGGCTATTTCCTAAATTATAAAAATCGGTATGATTTTAAAGTAGATTTTTTCCCCCTAAAAATGGAGCTATTTTGCTGGGTGATAATTTATATATTTTACAATGAGCTGAATGTTAGGGAGACAGAATGTGATGTTGATGTAGTATGAAAATGGATAACAACATAGTTTTTCCTAAACAAAAGGGATATTTAAGTATGTTTAATAAAAAATCAAAATAGATATGACCTGTAGTTCTTCTAATTTTGTAGTAAGGACATTAGTCAACCAATTAAAGGGACCTTTGAGATTCCTTCAGTTCATAACCATCTTTGTGTCATGGCCCCCTTGGCAATCTGATGAATCAAAATAATGTTTTTAAAATGCATAAAATAAAATGTATAGGATTACAGAGGAAGCCAATTACATTGAAATATAGCTATCAAGATAATTTTAAAAGTTCACATACCCCATGTTAACAACTCCTGACTAGTCCAGTCCCTTCTTTTGACAGATAAAGAAACTGCATTTCAAAGAGTTTAAGTGACTTGCCTAAGGTTATACCTCCCATGTCTTAATCCAAGTTTTGATAAAATTTCTAAAAAGGACAGGACCAAATTCAGAGCTCTACAACAGCCCTCTAGGGAACTCTGACTCAGTCATCATTTTCCCACTAATCTTTAGTCCTTGGACAATGTATGTAAACACACATGTAGCTTAACTAGAATTTTCCTTATGAAATGCTAAAATGCATATACTAATGGAATGATAAAAGCATGTGGGAGTCACCCCAATAAGGAGTGGGTAGTAAATGTAAATTAGTTTAATCAGAGTGTTTTCCTGTCACCTAGTGTTGACCCTAGCTGATCTCATTGACTTCATTCTAGTACAATATGTGCCTCATGAGAGCAGGAATCGTTTCTTTTTGTATCTGTTTCCCCAGCTGCCTAGATCAGAACCTTGCACATGGATGGCATTTAAAATGTTGAATGGAGTTGAACAAGGGAATGAGATTCTTGATGAGGAGAGGAAGGAAAGATAGTTTAGGAGCTTTCAGAGGCTGGTTTGGGTAGAGTACCACAACATAGAGTATCATGACGGCAGTGGGGGGAGGGGGAGTTTAGGAATAAAGGCACCAATATGTGATAAAAAAATCACAGTGAGAAATATGAGGAGGTACCAAACACCAATCTCCCATTATAAAATTTTTGTCTAGGACAAACCTCAGATACTTAGCTTTTTTCTGAGACCATGTGGGCTGAGCTTAAGAGACCTCATTGTCTGGGGCAAGAGAGGGTAGTTGAATTGGCTGGACCTTCTGTCTCTTTAGGTTTAGGAGGGATGACTATTAACAGGAAGAACAGCCATACTTCTTGACTGCTTCTGCTTAAGAAACTCCTCCCAAGTCTCCAATCCTTCATCTTTCTCAGTGAGCTAGTTCCATGTTGAAAAGAACAAGAATTTGTGAGAGACTTGCGGGAATGGGATTAGGGAGCGGTTAGCTTTAGTTTTCTATGTAGAACTAGGGAAAATAGGTTGTGACATTTCTGAACTTTCTCACAAGCTGTTTCTATGAATAAATAAACCACATTTTAGCAGAATCAGGGAGCTAGCTCAGTTTACTTTGGTTCTTCTACTGGTTTCTCCTAGATTTTTCGTATTTGAATCAACTGTATGATGATCTGGCTTACTAATTAGAAATGAATGGTTCAATGAGGCTGTCTGTTTGTATATGTGTATCCTACCCTTACTTTTTAAGGTATTTCCATAGATATTGGAAAAGAAAATGAAAGATGCCATAGGAAATATAAGTGCCCCATAATATTGATTAGTCAATCAAGAACTATTTATTAAATGTCTTCTGTATACCAGGCCCTTGCCTAAGTGTTGTGGATACAGAGGCAAAAGCAAAATCGATTCCTTCCCTCAAGGAGCTTATATTCTATCATAATTTTGGTCTACCATTTGAAATTGTTCTTTTACCTTTATTATGATGCTTTGAAATATTTAATGATGGAAAGTGTCCTGATTCTAGGTGAAATCTGTGAATATTGCTGAAGGACTAATAGAAGACCACTTTGATGTCACTGTCAAGATGAGCACTTACCTTGTTGCTTTTATTATTTCGGATTTTGAGTCTGTCAGCAAGATGACCAAAAGTGGAGTCAAGGTAAGCCTATGGCTGTCAAAAACCTCTCCTTTTTATATTCTGAGTTTGCCATAGTAAGCATTCAGTAAATGCCATTGATTAGCAGGCCTAATGAGGATTGCAAGGCTGGCCTAGAAGTAAATCTTTACTACTAGGCTTCAGAATCCCTTCCAGGGGAATCTGCTACCGAAGATTGGGCACCCAAAACAACCCTGACTTAGAGCTACTTCTCTATTTAATTGCTGTTAGTCTTTGCTTACTGTTGCTGCCATAATGAAAATTCCAGAGGCACCCTCAAACAGAAGCTTATTGACACTTTCTGTTGAACTTCTCTTCTTTCCTTATTCAACTAATTAAAAAGGATTCTCTTTTTTTCTTCTGTGGCCTTGGGACTACAGATTTACCCCTTTCTTTGTTCTTCTTCAATGCCCTTCTGTTACACAAGCTATTTTAAGTGAATCATTATTATTTTTTTTGTTGCAATGTGGATAATCTTGGACTATGTATAGATTAAGCAAATTGAAGGTACATGTAATTGTATAGGTTTGTCAGTTTAATGCATTAATTTGGTTTCTTCCCTTAATTCCCACTTTTTATACCTAGGCCTCTTCTCTTAGTCTTTCCCTCTTCCTATGCTGAAAAAAAGAGTAGTATCTCTGGATTCAGCTGGAAGCTGTCTCCCTGAAGCTTTGATTTACCCAGATCCCCCTGAATTTCTTATTTTCTTACTTTACATGACCTTTTCTTTAGTTCTCATTTTTATGTTTTGCCTCCAGACCGTTATTACTCTAACCTGTCTCTCCCATTAATAGATAGGTAAAACATTTATTAAGTTCTTATTATGTGCCAAGCACTTGTGCTAAACACCAGAGATTCAAATTCAGGTAAGCAAGATAGACCCTGCCCTTAAGGAGTTTATATTGTAATCCTACTGGATTGTGTTGGTAACGCAAAGAAATGTTGATGATTTACATGGGTTTATTTTATAATTTACAACTTTGCTGAAGTTGTTGTTTCAATTAATTTTCTTAGCTAAGATTTTTAAAGTAAACTATCTTATCATCTACAAAAAATGATAATTTTGTTTCCATTTTTCCTATGCTCATACCCTCAATTTCTATTCTTCTATTATTACAGGTAGAATTTCCAGCACTATATTATGTAGTAATGGTGATAATGGACATCATTGCTTTACCCCTAATCTTATTGGAAAAGATTTTAGTCTATCTTCATTATAGATAATGCTGGCTTTTGTTTTTTAAATAGATAGTACTTATAATAAGGAAAGATCTGTTTATTCTTATGCTTTCTAGTGTTTTTAAAACAGGAATGGGTGTTGTATCTTATCAAAAGCTTTTTCTGCATCTATTGGTATAATCATATGATTTTTGTTGTTCCTGTTATTAATATGGTCTATTCCTAGTATGACAAACCTGGTTATAGTGCATAATTTGTGTGACATGTTGCAATAGTCTCCTTGATAATGTTTTATTTAAAATTTTTATATCGCTGTTTGTTGTATTTGGTTTTAATGTATTCAATTGATGTTTGGGATTTTAAAGTGTACTACAAGGAAGGCCAGAGTACCCTGATACAGAACACAAGGCAAAGGTGTCAGCAAAGGGAAAGTTAAGCCAGTTATATATATTGAGGGGAGATACAATCAGAAGGGGAGTCAGGGAGAAAGGAAATGGATCAGGTCCCTCAGAGATCCTTGATGAAAAAGGGGTGCTTTAATTGGTAAAGCCCAGTAGATTTCTATAAGGTTCTTATTTGAATAAAGCAGAACCAGGCATTGCAGGAGCAGGGGTAAGCGGGGGTGGTAGGGAATAGGGAAACTAAACTTGACGTGCTGGTAGGTCAAACTTGAGAACTGGTGCTGATTCATACTGGGCAGTGGGGAGTTGGGAATGGACATTTTGGGAATTGGTAACTAGTTGCTAATCAGACTCCCAGTTGGCTGAAACTGTAGGCCTTATTTTGGCAGAATGCCTCAGGGAATTTGGGGTGGGGAAGCTATTGAAGCTCTTAAATATTAAAATTTTCTGTTTCTAAGCTTTTATTCCCAGTGAGGTTCCAATCTTGACTTCATTGGCAAAATTCCCTTTTAGTCCCCCACCCAATTTGACATTGCCCACTTAACAAGAATCCCTAATTTCCAATCCTCTAAGACATTCTTCCATTCATTAACCAACAAGCATTTATAAAATGACTTCTTTGTGTTAGGCACTGTATTGTGTTAGGTGCTGGGGATGAAACAAAGAATGAAACAATCTCTGCTCTCAAGGAGCTGACCTTCAGATCATGTGATTTGCTTTGTGCCCCATCTTTGCCTTTCTGTTTACACATAAGCTAACCACTACCCATTGCTGACTATTCTTTGCACATTTCTCGTTTAGATGTTATTGTAAAGTGTGTCACCTGAAACCATAAAAACATTTGTTGCTTACCTTATAGCTTCTATGTTTGTCATTTGGAATTTATTTTAATTCTACAAGCATTTATTAAACTCCAACTGTGTCACAGTACTGTGCTTGGTGCAGGGGACACTGACAGAATGAGAAAGAGGTTGAGCCTTCAAGGAGTTCACAGTGTACTTGGGGTAGGGGTGGGGAGTGGGGACATGTGCAATATTTACATAATAAGTGACTACACTAACAATTAGGGGCTTAGAGAAGAGCCTTTGGTAGGAAGTGAAATGAGCTTTGAAGGAAACTAAACATGTGTCCAGGCCTAGGGGCCAGCCCAGGCAAAAGAATGGAGGAGCAAGAGAATGTCTCATTCAGGAAACAGCAACATAGCATGCAAAGTAGAGTAATGTGAAATATTAGTCAAAATAGACTAAAGCCAAACTGTGATGGGCTTTAAGTGCCAAAAATGAAGAGTTTATCATTTTACCTTTCAGGTGATAGGGAGCCAAGGAAAACTTCTTGAGCATCAGAATGACATGATCAGGTGCTTTAATTGAAATAGAATTGAAATAGAATAGAGAAGTAATAAAGCCCTGCCCAAACCATATGCAGTAAAATTACTCCCATATCTTTGGTTTGAAGTTATCTGTTCCTTTGTTTGAAAAACAAAACAAAATCAACAAAAAAGAAGAAAGGTGCCTCTACATATTTCTAGCTGTTTAGCTGGATGAGAAAGAAGCAGCCACTAATTAGATTAGGCATAGGGTCTATGATTTACTCTGTACATTTTAAAAAGGTGGAGCAATTATCATGTCAATCAATCAACATTTATTAACTGTCTACTATGTGTCAGACACTGTGTTAAATGCTGAGAATACAAAAAGGGGAAAAGGGTAGTCCCTGCCCTCAAGGAGCTTACAATGGAATTCGGGAGACAACATGCAAACAAATATAGACAACGCAACTGTACTATCATACAGTACTTTTGTAAGTGACTTGGGCTCTGTTATTCAGGAGATGTGTACAAATCCAACTTTTTTTAAGCCACTAGTTTTATCATCTAAAACATAAAACAAACTCTTTTTTTGCTTAGTTACTGCTGATGATGGCCACTTACTCATTATCTTTTTGAATATTGGATGAACACTGATATCTCTGGATAGAGGTTCTGCTCCTCTTTCTGGTTGCAATTGGAAGTGCCTGAATTATTTGATATACTCAAATATCTTTTCCCTCAGGTTTCTGTGTATGCTGTACCAGAGAAGATAAACCAAACAGGCTATGCCCTGGATGCTGCAGTGACCCTTTTGGAATTTTATGAGGATTATTTCAACATTTCATATCCTTTACCCAAACAAGGTAAAGCTTTGAATCAGAGAGATTACAAAACACAGAGTAAGAATGCAGCCCAAAGCTCCAGAGGTAGACCTAACTACATAATTGTTGGCTCATCAATATCCCAAAGAATGAAAAAATCTGGCGTGTACGTGACCACCTGTATATCTCTGTGCTCTTGCTCTGTGCACAGAATTCATGTTTACCTGAAAAGCAGAAACCCATGCAGTCCCTGAGACTTGGAATAAGAAGGCATTCTTAAAGATGAATCAAACTATTAGACTTTGACTGGTTAAATTTTTTCCCCCTGAGGAAGTTTGTGAAAGTATATTTCAGTAATATTAGAGAATATGTATTTTCTTTCCTACATGATGCCTTAAAACTATTTACTTGGTCCAGTGTCTACATGAAAAATGAAGTGGCATCTTAAGACAATGATTAGGACAATTTAGCCCCAAACTATTCACTGTAAGGGTTCTTTCCACCTGGAAGTATACAGAATACTAGACTCCAAGGATGGGAAGATGAGGTTCTGTCATTCACTAGCTATAACCTTGAGCAAGTCATTGGATTAGATAAAAGGGAGTTGGAATAGACAAGCAGTTCTTAACCTTTTGTATGTGTGTCATGGACCCTTTGGCAATATGGTGAAGTCTATGGATCCCTTATTTTTTTTTAAACTGCAATATTTTTTTCTCCCAATTACATGTAAAAACAAGTTTTAACATTTAACAATTTTTTTGAGTTTCAAATTCTCTCCCTCCCTCCCTCCCTCTTTCCCCCATGGTAAGCAATTTGTTCTACATGTGCAATAGATTATACGCGTGCAATCATGCAAAGAATATTTCCATATTAGTCTGGATCCCGTCATAGAATACTGTTTTTAAGCACATAAAGTAAAATATATTTACAAAGGATTACAAAGAAAGCCAATTATATTGAAATAAAGCTTTCAATATCCTTTAAAAACAAGTTCATAGACTCTGGGTTAAGAACCCCCTAAATTAGATGGGTCCTGAGGTCCCTTTGTCTGTTTCGCTTTACTTTAGTCTAGGTACCAAAAGTTTTGAAGTTTAGTGTGCCCTGAGCTTGTTACAAAGCAGTATGTTAACTTAATGTTAAGCAAAGTGGTATGCAAACTATTATCTTCAGATCTTGCCGCCATCCCTGACTTTGAATCTGGTGCCATGGAAAACTGGGGATTGACAACGTACAGAGAATCTGGACTGTTGTATGATGTTGAAAAATCCTCTGCTTCCAGTAAACTTCGGATCACCATGATGATAGCCCATGAACTAGCCCACCAGGTAATCAATGTGTCTTTCAGCTACAAGAGAGCAAAGGATGTTTCAAATAATTGCCTGGCAGATCAGGCAACATTTTTGTAACATTTTCATTTAGGTCTTTTCAAAAGATTTTCTTCCTTGAAAGTAAAATGATCACCTTTGCAGGCAGCATGGTACAGTGGAAAGAGTATTGAATTTGGAGGTACTAGACCTGAGTTCAAATCTCAGCTCTGATTCTTACCTTGAGTAAGCTATTTGATCTCAGTTTGCTCATCTGTAAAATGAGGACATGGATCAGATGACCTTTGAGTCCCTTCTGGCTATTGATCTATTGATCTGTAGGAAAAATTTTTTCTTCCAAGCACTACTTATTATGCCACGGACTTTTAAAAGATACTTCTTTTGTTTTTGATAATTTATAAAAATAACTGTTAAGCTAGCTCTTAGTTGTTGTTCAGTTTATTTAAGTTGTATCTGATTCTTCATGACCCCACTTTGAGGTTTTCTTGGCAAAGATACTGGAGTAGTTACCATTTCCTTCTCCAGCTCATTTTACAGATGAGAAAACTGAGGAAAACAGGTTAAAGGTCACATAGCTAATAATTTTCTTGAGGTCAGATTTGAACTTATGGAAATGTACTCTATCTTGACTCTCGGGCCAGCACTCTATCCACTGTGCCACCTAGCTGCCCATTAAGCTAGTTACATTATGTTTGAATTAATACAGAGGTGTAAAGAACTCTAAAAACGACTTCCTGCTAAAAGTTTATTACCTATATAACTTTACACGTGTGTATATGTGTATATCTATCCATCCATCTACCTTTAATATGAGTAATATACATTATTTTTCAGTGGTTTGGGAATCTTGTCACCATGGAATGGTGGAATGATCTTTGGCTAAATGAAGGGTTTGCAAAGTTTATGGAGTTTGTGTCTGTCAGTGTGACCCATCCAGAGTTGAAAGTTGTAAGTAGCATTATTTTAAAAATTGCTTTCTCCATTTTAATTTGCATTTTTGAAAGATTACTATAGATGCTTTTGTGATTATCTGCTCTAAGAAGTCTTAAAGACTTCTTAGATATTTTTCTGCTGGTGAATCTGTTGTGTGGATTGAGATTCATAAGCCTTTTAAAAATATATGCCAAAAAGACTGGCTCCATTCAAATACTTATTTACAAAATGGATATGAATTTGTCATTATCATTAGAGTGTCTTTTTATCTTTTAGAATGTCTAATAATTAAAGAAAATGAATGACTACCAATCTACCATACTTTTTCTTCACATGTCATGTTGGTTGCCCATCATAGAAGCTTCATTTGTATGCCACCATCATCCCAGTAGGGACTACATTCTAAATCAAATGTGCTTTTTTGTTGTTGTTCTTGTTGAGTGTGGATTCCATTTTATGTGTTTCTTCAGGCAAATAAGATTCTTGAAATCATTGCATAGATTTAATGCTTTATTTGCTTTGAAATAGTATTAACTAAAATACTAGGATTACTATAAAGCCCTCTGAATTTTAAAATTAGAATGTGGTCCCTACTGGAGGTGGAGATGCTATTTGTATTAAGAAATAGACTGTAGAAGTGATCCTTTTGTTTTAAGTTAAGAGCTTTCTTGCTTTCTATCAACCATTAAGTACGGTGCACAAAATCCAAATGACTCTCCTAAAGCCCATTTCCCCCCTTGTTTTTTTTTCTTCTGCTGTTAATATTTTCTTTTTTTAATTAATGAATTAATTTTTAGTTTTCAACATTCACTTCCATAAGCTTTTGAGTTTTAAATTTTCTCCCCCTCCCTCCCCGCTTACCTCTCCAAGATGGTGTGCAACCCTCTTGTTTTTAGAATTCGAATCCATACATGGCAGATTATGGGAGCACAAAGAAGGTACTCTGAATTTTGTTTTGCACACATATCCTCCTAAATCCTACTTTCTGTCTTCTTCAGTTTCTATTTAGATGTGTGCCGTGGCTAAACGTGGCCCTGGAGAAGAGTTGAGAAAATATATCTTTCTCTCTGTTGAAGGCCAGCCCTGACTCAGTTTAGCAGTTCACATTTGAGACTGGAATGAAATGTGTTAGCAGTTCGCAAAAGGAAGTTTACCTAGCATAGGCCGGAAAGGATGCTCAGCAAGCACACAGCATTAGTCCAGTTGGATGGACATTCCCTGCCTCTGCATTTGCTGGGACAGCTTGTTAGCGTCAAGCCTGATGGAGGAACTTTTGATTCATTGCACTAGTTCCTAGGCCTCCAGTAAGCTATGTCAGTGGCTAGAAATCCAGTGCCTTAGGCCAGTTAAGTATCAAAGCTAATTTTGATACTTTCTAAGGACAAACTAGTCTAGTCTGTGTGGGGTTAGGACCTAAAGAGACACTAGCCCAGTCTGTGTGTCAGGAACCCTAGTAGATAATGCTCATACCACACTCCTCTTTTAGCATAGATAGGAGACTATGGAAGGGCAATATTACACATACTGTCAGACATGGTTGATGTGAAGGTTGCTTTTGACGAGTTACTTTTCTCTATCTTTCTTCATAGATGTTTGTTATAAGGGATGGTTCTTTGAGTTTGTTATAAGGGATGGCTCTCTGAATGGGGCTATATTTGGAAAAGAAGTTGATGCAAAAACAAGACACTATTGAAGATGAGCTTAAAAAATAGATGTATGCCACTAGTGATTTTTTTCCTCCTCTCTCATTAGGAAGATTATTTCTTTGGAAAATGTTTTGATGCCATGGAGATGGATGCATTAAATTCTTCTCATCCTGTGTCCGCACCAGTGGAGAATCCTGCTGAGATTCAGGAAATGTTTGATAATGTTTCTTATGAAAAGGTACAAAATTATGGCTTTGTACTTGTGTATTTGTATGGAGGTGTTTGTCATGAAAGTGTGTGTAACAGATGACAGCTAAAAATGAATTGTTAACTTTACCTGATGAAGATCTAATCAGCAGCATATATCTAGCTCTATTCATAAGGCGCTTAAGGAATGAAAGGGAGATAATTTCATAATTGAATTAGATAGCATTTTCAGTATTATTTTGGATAAAAGTTTCCAGGGTTGAGTTGTAGTGTATAAAATCCATAGAAACTCCTCCTTTCATATTAACGTAATTACTATTTTTTTTTTGCCACCTTCCACTCTCTCCCTCCACAGCAGAATGTAAGTTTCTTGAGGGCAGGGACTATAATATCTTTGTGCCCCTGGAATTGAGCATAATGTCTTTCATGTAGTAGACACCTAATAAATGTGTTGATATTAACTGAATTGAGACTTTTTGTGGGAGAGGAAAGGGGAAGGATGCAGTATCCCAAGGCTAGTAGTGGTTGGCCTTGAGTCCATTCATCTGCAACAGGAATCAGGATTTGGTTGGTGAAATTTCTCTCCTTTACCCCACCAAGGAAGATTGGAATGAATAGCAGATTCCTGGAGACATCACTAGACAAAATGCCTAAGATAAATAATTTTCCTGGAAAATGTGCTTAACCCATTGAATGTAACCATTTAACATTACTTTGCATTAACATTTACAGTAGTGATTTTAAATGCTCTTTAAAAAAGACAGCTGTAACATGGACTGTTAAGATCAAACTGAGATGAGTTTTTTTTTAAATTTTCTTGGCAGGGAGCTTGTATCTTGAATATGCTAAGGGACTATCTTAATGCAGATGTATTCAAAGCTGGCATTGTGCAATATCTCCAGAAATACAGTTATAAGAACACCAAAAATGAGGATCTGTGGAATAGTATGACAAATGTAAGTATCCTTGTCGAAAAGCAAGGCTGAGAATTGGAGAGCCTGTTACCACAAGCTCCCTATTATGTGAATTGTTGTAAAAAGAACTGTATGTTCTACAGAAATACCAGTGATTTGTATTTTAAAAAAAATTTTTAAATCAGATTTGTCTGATAGGTGACACACAAAAAACAGATGGATTTTGCTCAAGGAACCAACCTACATCCTCACCTTCGGTAAGCACTTCTAACTGTTCTCACCTCTTTTCTTTTCTTTTTGACTTGTCTACATCAGGCTAATTTCACTCACTGCTCTGTCTCCTGGCAAGAATGAATGTAAGTCAGAACTGAAAGATAATTTTAATCTTTTTTTTTCCTGAAAAGTTAAAGTAGGTTACACAGCCTCCCTTGGAAATATATTTCATTCATACGATTCAATTTCACTCTTTACAAAGGGATGAATATCCAATAACATCAGTCCTTAGTGGGTCAGTACCATTGTCTCAGGATGGCAAGGTGCCGCAGTGAATAGAGCCAGGAAAACTCATCTTCCTGAGTTCAAATCTGGCCTCCAACACTTACTAGCTGTGTGACTCTGAGCAAGTTACTTAATCCTATTTGCCTCAGTTTCCTCATCTGTAAAATGAGCTGGAGAAGGAAATGACAAATCATTTCAGTATCTTTGCCAAGAAAACCCCACATGGGGTCATGAAGAGTCAGACATGACTGACTGTGTTGTGTTGTGTTGTTCATCCTTCATTCTCAAAAAGAACTAATGACATCATGAGATTTATGTCTTCACTTGCACCTGAATTGGATTTAAGTGAGGCAGAGCTGTGCAAAGTCTTGAACAACAACAACAATAACAAAAACAACTAAATGAGTAAATTTAATTTACTTGGCTAATTTACTAAATATGTAGAAATCAAACTTTTTTTATTATTATTGATTTATTTTTAGTTTTCAACATTCACTTTTATAAGATTTTGAGTTTTAAATTTTTCTCCCTTACTTCCCCTCCCCCCTCCCCAAGACAGCATGCAATCTGATATAGGCTATACATGTATAATCATATTAAACATATTTCCACATTAGTCATGTTGTAAAAGAAGAATCAGAGCAAAAGGGAAAAACTATGAGAAAGAAAAAATAAAAAAAATGAAAAAAGAGAAAATAGTATGCTTCAATCTGCATTCAGACTTCATAGTTCTTTCTCTGGATGTGGATGGCATTTTCCACATGAGTCTTTTAGAATTGTCTTAGATCATTGCAGTGCTGAGAAGAGCTAAGTCGATCGAAGTCAGCCATTGCATAATGTCACTGTTACTGTGTACCATGTTCTCCTGGTTCTGCTCACTTCTCTCAGCATCAGTTCATGCAAGCCTTTCCATGTTTTTCTGAAGTCTGCCTGCTCATCATTTCTTATAGCACAGTAGTATTCCATTACGTTCATATACCACAACTTGTTCAGCCATTCCCCAATTGATGGTCATCCCCTCAATTTCCAATTCTTTGCCACTACAAAAAGAGCTGCTATAAATATTTTTGTAGGTGTATCATAAATTTTTTTTTTTTGCTAGGCAATAGGGTTAAGTGACTTGCCAGAATCACATAGCTACTAAGTGTCAAGTGTCTGAGGTCAGATTTGAACTCAGGTCCTCCTGACTCCAGGGCCAGTCCTCTATCCACTGCACCACCTAGCTGCCCCTTATCAAAAACTTTTAAGAACTGATCATATGGTATTCTCTGTTTATCTGAAGACTTTTAAGTCTGGATTAGGCATTGCCAAAAGATTTGCTGTTGGAGATTCCTGATTTTTTTTCTTTCTTCCACTCTATTTTTCTCCCTCCTCTCATTTCTTTACCGTATTCATGATATAATTACATTATCAATAATAATAATGATAATAATGCCTCACATTTAAGCAGTTGAAGGTATCCTTCATCCATTCTCTCATTTGATTCCCATACCAGCCCTGATATAGGTAATATAAAAGTATTATTAACTCCATTTTTATCTATAAGGTAACTAATGCTCAAAGAATACCTTGCTCAAAGTCACATAGCTAGTAAGTAGCAGAGAGGGATTGAACTCAGATGCCCTGACTCCATTTATAGGACCCTTTCTACCAATCTTCACCAGCATCCTCTAGTTTGTAGAAACCTCTTTCAGTACTAACTACTGAATAAATATTCTTTGAAAGCTTTGTTAGCATTATGAACATAACTCCTTGTGAGCTTGTTATATTTTGGAAGAGAATGAAAACCCTAGCTCATTTAAAAAAATAATAATTTTTTTACTGTTGCTCTAAGAGAGCCTGAAAAACTGTAGACTCCTTACCACCTTCCATGTATTGATTTTAATAGAATTTTGTAGGCCTTGCAGACCTCACTGGTTTCTCTTTTTCATCGGCCATGGTCATTGGCTAGTAGTCGTCTCCTCTGAACATCATTTAGTCTTCACTGATAGTTCCTTAGAGCTGAGTCCAAGAGAATGATTTGTCTGTTTATATTTAAATAGCACTGGAGCAAGGAGGCTGTTGATGTAAAAGCCATGATGAACACGTGGACACTACAGAAGGGGTTTCCAATGATCACTGTCACCATGAGAGGAAAGAATGTCCATATGAAGCAAGAACTCTATAGGAAGGGAAGCAGTCACTCTGAGGAAACTGGGTAATGTTTATTAAATGTAACTTATTTCATCGTTCATGTACGTCCAAGTTGTACACATGATTCTTCACTTGACTTGAAAATGGAATTTCCTTTCTTCTGGTGATTTTTTTTTGCAGTTTAACTATTTTCATTACATTTTATGTGTTCTTTGAATTTAAGTTCTTTGAATTTAATTTAAAATGGTTAGTACTGACATTAAGTGTTTGCTAGGATGGAGGCAAATTCTGTTTTATTTCATCTTTGTATCCCCAGAGCCTAACGCAGTGTCTGTAATCTAGTAAATGAGCTTAGTAAATGTTTGTTGAATTGAATTGGATTGAGAACAACTTGAAGTCACTTGTATGAATTTAGTTTGGATCTGGGCAATTGCCATTAAATTATAATGGTCCATTTTGAGGAGATGAGAGCTCAAGAATGGGAAATTCACTGTTGAGCATTGATTCAGGTTAATTCTTGATCCACTGTGGAATACTGGTCAAGTTTAAGGGCTTTTTTTTTTTTTGCCAAACTAGTTCTACCTGGGATCTCACTGGAAGAAAGATATTACATTTTGGTTGACATTAGAGAGATTCTTCAGCATAAGTATCATTCAATTATTAATTGTTTATTATGTGGCAGGCACCATGCTAAACTCTGGGGAACTTTGCTAGAGAATATGCCAATGACATTGTATGTTATTTCCCACAGCAGTTAACCATATTAATCCCCACTAAAATAACCAACAGTCCTCTTTTTCTTTTAGGTACCTGTGGCATGTTCCACTGTCATACATTACCAGCAAATCAGATAAAGTTGAAAGATTTTTGCTAAGAACAAAAACAGGTAATTTGTTATTGAAGTGACCAATCTAATTTAATGGGAAGCCCTTCACAAAATGTTTCTGAGGAGTTAATTTTTCTTCTTTAAAAATTAGTCTTCTTTTATTAGTGTTTTTCTTTTTAAGATCCATTTTAATCATGTCTCTGGCCTTCCATTTAAAATGGGGAATTTGAGATTAAAAACCATGTAGCTGGAAAAAAAAAAGCCACGTTCCTGTCAGACAAGTTCCTGTTTTGAATGATATACTGATGGTAGCGGTGAGATTTCTAGTAGAAATGTCTGAAATCTTTGATTGTGTTGCTGTGTTACATCTTTTTTACTTGTAGGCTGAGAATAGATTGCATTTTTTTCATAGATCTCTTAAGTCTTGAAACATAGTAGATTAGAGCCAGTGCTAGGTATTTTCCATTGAGCTGCTTTCCCCTGGTTTCAAGAATAATGATCTATTGCAATTTCTGCAGTGTCAAACCCACTCTGAATGCCTTCCATATTCCCTTGTATCAGTTAAGATTGGTTCAATAGTTAAAGAAAATGGAGCTATAATTTATTTTGCTTGTTGTAGATGTCCTCATCCTCCCAGAAGAGGTAGAATGGATCAAATTCAATGTGGGAACGTATGGCTATTACATTGTACATTATGAGGATGATGGATGGGAATCTTTGACTGGCCTTTTAAAGGAAAAGCATATGACAATCAGCAGCAATGATCGGGCTAGTCTAATTAACAATGCATTTCAGCTTGTCAGGTAAGTAAGATGTACAGTGCCTGTCTCTGTTTACTTCTGAAATCAAATGCTATTGTAATACCTAGTAGCCTTGGAGAATGGCTCCTCCAGGCACAATATACTTTGGGAGTACCATATCTGCTCAAAACCATAGTTTATATTTCCCATCAATATGTTTATCATTATTAGTCAGTCGGAGGACATAGTTTGTTCAAAGTAAAGTTCAAAGACAGTCTTTAATGAACTAACATGGTAAAGAAAAGTAATAGTAAAATATTTCCCCTATTAACCAGGAGCACAGACAAACACATTTTTGATGAAGAGACGGGACACACACAGAAACACATACAGAGAGGCACATATGTAGGAAATTTATGTGGCCAGAGCACAAATGTAGAAGGTCAGCTCATGCCTCCAACACTGCAGGGCCGTTGATGCCTTCTGGTGATGTCATCATTTTGCTGCTGCTAGGCCTAAATCCTTCTAGTGTCTACGAAGTGTAGTCTCTGCCAAACGCATTGCCAAACATCTGAAGGATGAATTGTCTCTGCTGAACACCATCAGTCTCAGTTGCACTGAGTGGTGGTGGTGGTGGTGGTGGTGGTGTTGGTGGTGGTCCTCTCTGCTTCTAGCTTTTCGTTTTGGCTGCAGTCCTTAGCCAAAGGGCTGTCTCTTCCTCATGAGAAGAATAGGTGTTGCTACGCTTTTAAAGTCCTGAGGCTTTCAAATCAGCAGCCTTTAACACCCAGCCATTAGACTAGGGAATCAAATAAAGCCTTTTTTCCTCAAAGATTAGTCAGTTTCTCAGAGTCTTGATTAGAAGGAGCTTCTTATTTCCACAAGGTAATATGTTTTCTCCATGTACCAAGTTCTTTAGGACTTAGAGCAGTCACACCTAGCTAGCTGGTGCCTCTAGGCTCAAGTCTGTTTTTTTTTTTTAAATACCATTTCCTGGTCACTGGGTCTCTCCTTTGAAGACTTCACTTTAACTTAGGGTTTATATGCTTTTTTTCTCCCTCTGTTTATCTTTGACAACTTTTGTTGTTCGGTCTTTCAGTCATGTCTGACTCTTTGTGACCTCATAGCACAACAGTCCCTTCTGTCCTCTACTATCTCTCAAAGTCTGTCCAAGTTCTTATTTGTTGCTTCCATGACACTACCTATCCATCTCATTCTCTGCCATTCCCTTCTCCTTTTGCCTTCAATCTTTCCCAACATCAGTGTTTTTTCCTATAAGCCTGCCTTCTTATTATGTGGCCAAAGTATTTAAGCTTCAATTTCAGTATTTGTCCTTCCAGCGAATGATCTGAATTAATTTCTTTAAGTATTGACTAATTTGATCTTCTTGCTGTCCAAAGGACTCTCAGAAGTCTTCTCCAGCACCACAATTTGAAAGTGTCACTTATACAGTGTTCAGCTTTCTTTATAGTCCGACTCTCAGAAACATACATTACTACTGGAAAAACCATAGCTTCAACTATATAGATCTTTATCGGCAAGGTAATGTCTCTGATTTTTAGTATGCTGTCCAGATTTGTCATAGCTTTCTTTCCAAGGAGTAAGTATCTTTTAATTTCATGGCTGCAGTCACAGTCTACAGTAATCTTTGAGCGCAAGAATATCTCCTTTTTTGGTTTGTTTTTGTTTGTTTGGTTTTTTTTGGCTAGGCAATGGGGTTAAGTGACTTGGCCAGGGTCACACAGCTAGTAACAAGCATAAGAATATCTAATCTGAAACCATTTCCATTTCTTCTCTATTTGCCAAGAAATGATGAAACTAGTTGCCACGATCTTAGTTTTTTTAATATTAAGCTTAAAGCCATCTTTTATATTCTCTTCTTTCTCCCTTATCAAGATGCTTCTTTGAGGGCTAGACTATACCTAATTAGTCTCTTTTTCTTAAAGATTACTCTTCCAACAAACTTTCAGGGCCTTCGGAGTATGGAGCTCTTCAGTTTCTCAATCCCCCTTCACCTTTCCATATGGATGATGGGGGAGGCACAAAGTTGGAGTCAAGCCCACTAGGCCAGGTTATCTTCTTCCAGTTTAGCCATATTCCTGCTTAAAATTTGTTAAAAAAAAATATATATATATATACATATTATATAAAATATATTAAAACTTATAATATATTTAAAATATCTATTATATTTATTAAATATATTTCTAAAGGAAATATTATATGAATAAAATAAATATATTATAAATATATGTATATATATTTTAATTATATTTTTTATATAGATTTTAACCTGGCCTTTTGGGCTTAACTTTGTCTTTGTGCCTCCCCCATCATCCACATGGAAGGGCAAAAGAGTTTGGGAATACACACACACACATACACACACATTTTCAGGCTTTTGGCTTCCTTGTACTGTCTCTATTAGGTGAGATTTCAAGGAACAGAGAAGCAGTCACACATACCTTAAGCCAAATACAGGGTTTCCTTAATGAATACCCAAATCAAGTCTATGTATTTATCAAAGAAGGGTAGGGAAAAGGGAATGAGAAAGGAATAAGAATTTATATAGCACCTTTTCTGTGCCAGGAACCATGCTAAGTGCTTTATAAATATCTCATTTACTCTTCACAACAACCCTGGGAAGTAGGTGCTATTATCCCCATCTTACATTTGAGGAAACTGAGGCAAATAGAGATTAAATGAATTGCCCAGGGTCATACGGCTAGGAAGTATCAGATTTGCACTGAGGTCTTCCTGACTCCAGGCCAGTGCTCTGGCTGCTGTGCTACCTAACCACCTCAGCTGGACAAACACCCCACTTGTCTGCCATTCCAACTAGGCCTTGGCCTGAATGGGGAGGAAGTCAACTTTACTCTTTCTTGGTGGCCCGCAGATGTTGGTGTTGGTGTTGTTTTTCAGTGGAGGTAGGCAAAAGGAGCTGGATGTTCCAGTTTAGACTGAGTGAACCCCAGGTCCCTTTGAATACCCTCATCATGAGTAGGTGAAATAAGTCTAAACACAGGGTTTGGAAGAACTCTGCTGGTGACACAGGCTGTAGCAGTCATGGATATTCATGAGTTACTCCAGCAGTTTTTGTCTGCGTGCATCTATCCTTCCTCAGGTGAAGGGGCTGCATGACTACAATTTAAATACCTCATGATGAAAAGAGGCAGCTTGATTGTTAATAAACTGCAGTGTTTTTCTTTTCCTAGTTCTTATAACAAACTGCTTAACTCGATGTCTATGAATACAAAATGGTCCAGAGGAAAGAATAGGCATTTTAATCTCTCTCCTTTGCATCCAAAGGTCAAAATGAAATCTTATCCACCAAATGCAGAAAGCCATGAGATAAATACACAGTAGTGGATAAAGGGGTGAATTTGAGACTCAGGAAAACCTGGGTTCAAATCTTGCCTCAGATACTGATTAGATGTTTGACTCTGGGCAAGCTACTTAACTATTCTGTGTATCAGTTTCCTCATCTGCAAAATGAAGGGTTTGGACTTTATGACCTGTAAGATCTTTCTGACTCTAAATCTATGATGTGATATTCTTCTGAGTGGCACTTCATATTCCCACAATCTGATCCTCAATTTTGTTCTTTCTGGTCCCAACTTTTCAAGTTAGGTGTCATCTCCAGTCCCGGGATGCCAGGTCACTTGATTTCCTTTTGTGGTCTTAGAAGCTTACCATCTGAATTGCTACTACCAGAAATAGGCCAGGACCAGATCATCTGGGGGTGAGGGACAAAGTAGAGTCTATCAATTGAAATATTTGCTTTGTTGCATTGTCTTAGAGTCAGTATCAGTGTCAGAATGAGAGTTTTGTAGCTTGATCCAATCTCTTGGGAAGGAAGAGGGGGATCCACTTATTTCCAAGGACACTTACTTTTCAACCACTTTTAGCTTTGGGGAGACCCAGGCCCGCGTCATGCTTTATACATGCACTTACCTGTTTCCTGTCTCTGAGTCAGAACAGTGGTTTCTTTGATTAGTCTTTCTAAGGAATTTGTTGGGATTCTTGAGTTTCTAATTTATAACCTAAATTTAATAGATGGATAGGAGCTGACGTGCCCTTTTTGTCTTAACCATAAGCTAAAATTGAATTTATTGCACCAATGGAAATTTTCTTTGGACTATAGATGTGCCAGACAGAAAAGATTTGGACAAAGAGTCACACAGAAGAGTGGGGCCACACATAAGCAGGGCAGTGTACTGGATGAAATTTAGTATGCACTTAGGAGTCACAATTTCATATGTAATATTCTCTTCTTTATGTATTGAAATGCTCATGTTTGTTTTTTCAAGTTCACATTAAAGAACACTTTTTTTTTAATTTTAAAAAACAAAGTGATGGATTGTTTGGTCAGAAAGGTGGTAAAGTTGTCTCTTGAAGCAGCAGACTAAGTTCCTAGAATTTTTATCTGCAATCATCTTTTCTTTTGTTCAGCATTGGAAAATTATCCATTGAAAAAGCTTTGGACTTAACCCTGTACCTGAAACATGAGACTGAAATTATGCCCGTGTTCCAAGGTTTGAATGAGCTGATTCCTTTGTATAAGTTAATGGAGAAAAGAGATATGGATGATGTAGAAACTCAATTTAAGGTAATAACCTGAAGTAGACTTATAGCTATATGGTTGTTGAATGCTTTCTTAAAGTTACAAAAATGTTATTCTTACAAAGTTTGGAAAGTGTTTTGTAAACCAGAAGGCACTTCATAAATGTGAGCTATTATTATCACCAGTCATAACCCCAGTGTGCAAGACTTCTGAGTCAAAATTCATTCAATGTCTTATTTGCCCCTACTAGAATGTAGGCTGTATGAGGGAAGTGGCTCTCATACTTTTATATTTGTATTCCCAGCATTTTGCCTAGTGCTTTGCCCAAAGTGCTTAATAAAGCACTTTAAAGCTCATTCATTGATTGATATAATCATTGATTTAATCTTTAGGAGCACTACGGTGTATTTATATTAAATGGTAGGTATGATCATGCTAGCATTTAAATCTGGTTCTCATAGGCACATTCACATTTTTTTAAACCAGTACCTTTATTTCATTGCATTTGTTTTGTTCTGCATTAATTTTCTGGTTGCTTTAGAACTAAACAAGAAGCACCAAAGTTTTCTCATCCCAGAAATGATTTATAATTGCTTCTTCTAAAATCTTATTAAAATATAAGCTGCCATTTTAATAATGTTGTTAGTTATCCAATCCAGATGGCAATATCATCCTGATTTTTAGGCACCTTTAGAGGAGACGAATATTGAAGTAACATTATTATTTTTTTCCCCACTGCTTTGGTAGTTAACGTATCAACAAAAGAAGTATGAGACTTTGAAAATTAGGGATGAGTGAAACAACATAAAAAATCTATAGCAGAGGTCATCAAAGTAGGGTTTGTGAACTTGTTTTAAAAAAGCTGATAACTATTTCGACATCGTTGATTTCTCTTGTAATCCTACATATTTTATGTATTTAAAAATATTATAATGAGAAGGGGTCCTTGACACAAAAGTAGTTCATTTGGTAATAAGAAAAAGTAAGATTCTTAGAGATAATAATGTCAGTTCTTGGTGGCATAAAACACTGAAGCTTTCTCTCTCTGTGATGTCCCTAGGCTTTCCTCATCAGGTTACTCAGGGACCTCATTGATAAGCAGACATGGACAGATGATGGCTCAGTCTCACAGAGAATGCTGCGCAGTCAACTCCTTCTGCTTGCTTGTGTACGCCAGTATCAACCTTGTGTTCAGAAGGCAGAAGACTATTTCAAGAAATGGAAAGAATCCAATGGAAATTTTAGGTCTTTTGTTATAGAATTAACCTATTGTTTCATTCCCCATTTCCTTACCCCCCCCCCTTCCCCTTCAGCTGGGCAAAAAGCTTATTTAAAACAAGGCACACACACACATGCATACACACACATGCTTTGCACCCCATACCTAGCTAAGCCTTCCCTTTTTCTTCAGATGGAAGGTTTTACTTAGCTATCTTGTTATTGAATCACTCAAGTATGGTGAGTGGGAGCATCTTCACATATCAGTTAAATATCTCACCCTTTGTCATTTGTAAAGAAGTTATTGATAAATTGTTCTCTTTATGAAGACTCTTAGGAACCCTGAGAGGCAAGGAAATTTGCTTTGTGTTGTATCTTCTGGTCATGTCAGCCAAGATTATAGCCTAATCTCTTCTTTTGGTTTTGTTTTTGGGCTGGATGTATGATTTCATTGATATAGGGAACACCCTTAGAGGAGGTTCCCTGTACCAATGCAGGCCAGCATTCCCTCTGACATATAACTTACAGAGTTACCAGGGGTCTTGAGCAGTTATCTCTGGGGTCTTGAGCTCAAAGTAGCTCTTTAAGGTGGCGGTCCCTAAAGTTTTTTGTTTGTACACTCTTATTGGTAAAAAAAAATTTGGAACATGTACCCCCAAGAAATGTATATTTACTTACATATTACACATATGAATTACTAATAGAACTTACACAAAATAGAAAATTTTGAAGAGGATGAGATGAAGATGAAATATTTGGTTCTAGAGGTGATAGTGAGCCACTGGTATTTATATAGTTAGATCAGCACTTTTAGGAATTTTCCTAGAATTTTCCCTTTGGCTGCTGTGTGGAGGGTAAATTTAAGTGGTAAGAGATGGAAGGCAGGGAAACCGGTTAGGAGATCATTGCAAAGTAAAGGCAAAGCGATGAGGGTCTGAACTAGAGTGGTGGCTATGCAAGCAGAGAGAAGGGGTCAGATGCTAGAGATGGGGAGGTAGACCTGAGGAGATCTGGCAGTTGATTGGCAATGTGAGGTCACTGGAAGGATGGTGGTACCCTGGATGGTACATACAGTCAGATGGTATCGGGAAGAAAGATAATGTAATGATATCCATGGATGTAGATCATAGTCCATCCAAGCCTCTTTATTTATCCTGTGTTATTCACTTTGTCTGTTCTGGGAAGTGTCTGTTATGGGCTATCTGGGAGCACAGGGTAAGAGTATAATCTTTTCTTTTGCTTTTTGGTGAGGCAGTTGGGGTTGAGTGACTTGCCCAGGGTCACACAGTTAATAAGTGTCAAGTGTCTGAGGCCAGATTTGAACTCAGATCCTCCTAACTCCAGGGCCCGTGCTCTATCTACTGCACCATTTAGCTGTCCCAGGGTGTGATCTTCTGAATGGCATCTGCACAGCTGCTGCCATATATTCCCCAGAGCCTTGTGGGGCTCTGATGATTCCCCGGAGCCTTATGTGGGCTCAGAAGAGGGGAGGTAGGGAGTTTGCAGATCACAGATAGGGAGCAGAGTGGGCAGTGTTGGGGAACTAAGTGGGTAGATAGGTTATTTTGAGACAAACCCTCGGATAGCTATTGCAAAGATATGACCCATCTTCCCACCCTCCTTCCCACAACACACTCCTCTAGTCAGTTCATTGTCCTGTTCATGAATAAGACCACGATTCTCACTTTGGAGACCACAGCTCTAAGGCACTGTTATATTTAACTTGAGCTAAGTGTTATGTTGAGGTCTTAATCCATATCCTTACTTTTGCCTGAAACAATATAGCCTATACAACTCTATTTTTGCTCTATATCTTGATTACCCTGGAGAATTAAGGAGACGTACTGTCTACATATGACTTTTGGCCACAGGATTATAGTATTAAGAAAGGTCTGAGAAGAGATCATTTAAAACATTTAAAATTCTTTGGTGTCTTTTGCAAACCATGAACTGGTAGAAGAAAAAAATTCATTATATTCATTCATTTAATACTTATCGGTCACTTAATCTACAAGGCACTGTGTTTGGGTGTGTATCTCTGTAACACACATCAGAAAAAAACCAAACAAACCAAAACAAAAAATCAACCAAATACTACAATGGGAAAATTTCATCATCACACAATTTTTCATTATTACACATTTATTATGTATCTAAACCCTATTAAATCTAATACTCTTACAAACTTTTTTTTTTTTGCAGCTTACCATGTGATGTGACCTCAGCAGTGTTTGCTGTTGGGGCACAGACCACAGAAGGCTGGGATTTTCTCTTTGAGAAATATCAGTTGTCTTTGTCCAGTACTGAGAAATACAAAATTGAATTTGCCCTGTCTACTAGCCATGATAAAGAAAAGCTTCAATGGTGAGCATTCTTCCCACTTTTGGAATGATGTGAATTAAATTAGAATGAATTAAATTAGATAAGGTTATATTGTCATAGCTTTGGTTTCCTTAGGTACTGCTTGCTTATTTAGTAGTAGACAGCCATGCACACATCGTACTGCTATGATACATCCTTTATAGCATCAAATCCAATGTGAAATGGAAAATATAATGAATAATTTCAGAGACGCTAGACAGCAAAGTTTGATATGTGAGTTTATCTTTAAGCACCCTCAAAACAACATAACATTGTGATTCACCCATCTTTATTTTGGTCTTCCTGTCTCAAATGTCTTTCCGTTCTAATCCATCTTCCACTCAGTCATCAAATTGATCTTCCTAAAGCACACATCTGACCATGTTACCTCCACCCCACCTATTCAGTCAACTCTAATGGCTCCCTATTGCCTCCAGGATCAGAGAAAATCTTCTCTTTGGCTTATGAAGCTGTTTATATCCTCCCTTCCTACCTTTCCAGTCATCTTAAACATTATAGCCCCACATACTCTTTGATTGTGGGACATGGGCTTCTTTATTGTTCATTGAATGTGACACTCCATCTCTCAGTTCTGAGCATTTCATTGGCTGTTCCCCTTGCTTGAAACTCTTTCCTTATCTCCACCTCTTGGCTTCCATGAAGTCTTAGCCAGTTTTACCTTCTATAATAGGCTTTTCCCAATCTGCCTTAATGCTACAGTCTTCCCCTCTGTCGATTATCACCAATTTAATTCTTTATGTGTCATTTGCACATTGTTGAGAGGGAAAGGGGCCTTTCTGTCCTTTGCCTTTCTATCCCCAGTGCTATTAAGAACATAGGTGCTTAATAAATGCTAGTTGACTAACTAATGGTCCCAGATATATATCTTTCCCTCTTCCTTGTGTTTCTGATCACTGCTGATGTATTTCTGTGAAGATTAGGCATCAAGGACACAGATTTAATACCCACCTGTGTACCCTTTATGTCTTAGTAGTACTAGGTTTATTCTTCAGACTGTTTCATGGATGTCAGCCATAGCTGTTTCACAAGTAAAGCATCATTTACATTTATTCTCATTCTTTTTTAGGTTGCTGGAGCAGAGTTTTCAGGGGGATATAATAAAAACTCAAGAGTTTCCAAGTATTCTTGGTTTGGTTGGCAGAAACCCAAAGGGTTATCTCTTGGCTTGGCAATTTCTGAAGGAAAATTGGAATAGAATCATACAGAAGTAAGTAGCTCTGTCATAATTTGTAAATTTCTTTACTCTATTTTCAAAATAACATCAATCTTAGGGAGGTCTGAGTTGGAGAAAAGGAGGGAACTAAAGTGATCACTGAAAAATCTTCTGAAAATATGAAATCCTAGTGAGATGCTCCCTGATATGTATTTCAGTAATACCCTCTGCCTCCTCTATCCCAAGCCCTGTAATTCCCTTCTCCCTCCCCCAACCTATGTTAACCCAATTCATTGTTCAGTCTAATTCCAATGTCACAAGGCCTCCACTGAGCCCACACTAATCTCTCCTTTTTCTGAGCTCTCCTAGCAAACATTGTGCGTACCACTTCCTTTTATACTTAATCATAGACTGCCTGGCTTTGTCACTCAGCCACCTCATATGCATGTCTTGAGTTTCCAAATGGATTTTAAGTTCCCGAAGGCAGGGATCATGTTTTATATTTCTTTTTACTTTTTTCTAGGTTAAACATCATGCTCTGTCTGGGCTGGCAATTCAACAAGTGTTTGGTAAATGAAAATTTCAAAGTATATCTTGTTAATTGTCATTTCTAGGTTTGAACTTGGCTCAAATTCTCTAACAGACATGGTGATAGGAACCACAAATCAGTACTCTACAAGAGAACGACTTGAAGAGGTAACATTTTCCTAACTAAACTTCTTGTGTCACAAATTACTAAAAACAAGGTAGATTAAAACACATAAGGAATTAGACATAGGGGAGATTTTCAGTTATTACAGTCACTTTGACATTGCCATACTAAAGTGAACTTAGAGGCACCTAAGACAGCCATCGTACTCACACCCATGACTGTAGATGGGCATTCTGGAGTTAGAAGATTTCAGCTCGCAGGGAACTTCTAGTCCAGGGGTGGGAAGCCTGTGGCTTCGAGGCCAGTCAATGAATCTAGTCAAAGGGCTGCACTTGAGGACCTAGAAGGCCACAGGTTCCACATTCTGGTCTAGTCCAATCCCTTCATCTAACAGATCAGGAAATGGAGGCTCAGAGAGGTTGTGACTTAGTTATATAACTAGATAGTAGCTAGGCCAGGATCTAGGTCTCTTGACTTTCAGGCCAATGCTTTTCCCATTGTATCCTGTTATGCACCCTATTCCCCACAGCGTTTATATAATATGCATTCCTATGCCAACATACAAAGCCTGTGCTTGTATGAATGAAACTTATTTGGCAAAATAAAGTTTTTTTAAAAAGTGTGTATGTGGGGGGGGGGAGAGACAGCGAGGAAGAAAGAGAGAAGGTAGGAGAGAGAGACAGTCCTATCTATATAGCAAGTAAGTATATTCTCGGTTAAACCAGAACAATGCACTGGTAAATGGTGAGTTCTCAAGTCTGGATAAGCAAAAGACACCCATATAAAAAAAAATGACCTCAAGAAGACTATTTTGAGTAGCTTAAGTTCAGTTCAAATGTATATAATTTCATCTACAGACATGGCTTGCATATGAAATTTTGGCCAATGCTGGAGTTTTAGCTCATGTAATTTTTTTCTTTGGTGATCAGCTATGCCTCTAATCTCATCTGTAAAAAAGAGAATGGCTTGGACTAGATGATCTCTGAAGTCTGTTTCAGCTCTAAAAAATATGAATTTATGTTTAATGTAAAACAAAAACAAAGGGAAAAGACACTTTTTTCATTTTTTCCTCAAAAGGTGAAAGAATTCTTTAGCTCTTTGAAGGAAAATGGTTCCCAGCTTCGCTGTATCCAACAAACACTTGAAACAATTGAAGAAAACATACATTGGATGAATCAGAATTATGAGAACATCAGAGTGTGGTTACAAAAAAGCACCAGCTCATTGTAACTTTTCACATCTTGCCGGGTTCCTGTGATCTACTGTAATTACCAGATTTTGTGATAAAGGTGAATTTACCAAGGGAAAAAAACCCCTTTTTTGCTACAAGATGGATATCTTTTCTAGCATCTAAAAAAAAAACCAGTTTCTGGCTCAACTCCACTCATTTTTCTACCCCCCATGACTAGCTATGCATTTCTCTCAGCAGGATTATTGACACAGATATTTACAGGTGCCAATTCAGTATAAGCCTTGTACCAAAATGTAAAGGATGCTTGGGTGTTTTTCACCTGAATCCAGAACCTACTGCTACCTACTATGTATTAAGACCAGTTTCCTCACCTGTAAAATAAAGATAACTCGCATGCAACCTACCTCAAAAGGTTTTAAGAAAGATCTTTAAAAACCTCACATTGCTAGACAAGTCTGAATATGTATGAAGCGTATCTATTATGATATTTTTTCTCCTCCAGGAAGGAAAAGTGAGAGGAATATCATGATGATTATCTTGAAACTAGTAGGGGCTAGAACAAATATGCTCCAAGATTAGAATATGAATCCAATGTTAAAAAAAATTAAGAGTTCCCATTAAGGCTTAGCATAGGGGTTTCTTACCCTGGGGTGTGTGGACCCCCAGGGGTGGGGCCCCTTGAACTTAGATGGTAAAAATTACATTTTTATTTCAAGATAATTGGTTTCCTTTGTAATCCTTGTATATATGCTATTTAATGATTTTAGAACATCCTTCTGAGAAGAGGTCTGTGGTACAAAAGGGGCTAAGAAGCAAAAATGTTTAGCTGAGATTGAGCTGGAGTGATGTTGCTTGGTGATAAGGTGGTAGGAAGAGAGAAGCACAAATGAATTAATTTGGTCTGACCATGAGTGCTTGAAGGAGTTAGGAAATTGTAATGCCAATGAAGGTCAATTAGGTCAAAGAATATTAACTGTATTATCATTAGCACTAAAATGTCAACATACTGCAAGGTAACTGAAACTACATAAACACACAAGTCAAAATGAGAACCAGCTGCCTTTATAGTTTACATGAATTAAAAAAGATACCTAGGATTTTGTATTAGAACATACTAGGCTTCTTAATATTTTGGAGTAATGATATTTCAGTGGAGAAACAACTTGAGATGTAGTGACTTAAAAGAGTATTAATGACACTTTTCTAGATAATGTTTTATAAAGTTGCATTTTCTGTTATTTGAGAAATGTAATTTAATGAACATCAGTCATACTTTTCAGTTTTTTCTTATTAAAGAAACACAACCAAAACTAATGAAGGTAATTTTAATGGAAAGTTTGTTGTTTTAAATAAAATGGAATCCATTTGAATGAAACATGGGATTTATTTTATGTTGGACACTAGCTTTTATCTACTTGTGGAAAAGTCTTATTTTAAACTGATACAACACTCCCACATCACAGTACAGTTACCTTGTTTCAGAAATGAATTGTCATCTCTGGGCTTCTTTGCCCCTGTGCACATAATAACAACAACCTTCTCTCTCAATCAGCTATGGGCTGTGTTCAGAACCTATAACCTATTAAGCTTCGCCAACAGGATGTAGGCAAGGGCAGATGTAGTACCCATCCCACAGGGCTTATCCTCCATCAGAGGCAGGGTTTTGGTGGTTGCTGATCTTTTGTTTTTAAAAGTTCCTTGATTTCTTCAAGGAAGTCAATGTCACAGAGGCTTGTCTTTACAAATGAAAATTCTAAGTGTGTTGTTTGGAGATATTACTGCTATAAAAAATACAGTTTTTCAAATTTAGTCTATGTGATACGAGCCTAGCATCTCTTCCTATCTCAATATCAGGAACTCAAAATATTAAAGATCATATGAAGCAACTGTTAATATTCAGCTGTATGTTCAGTGCCATGTCCAGAAACTCATTTACCTTCAAAACATTTTATTAGCCATTCACACCTCCAGAACAGTGGTTCTCAGACTTTCTGCAATGGTACAATCTTAAACAAAACTTTGGAAGAGCCCATGTAGGAAAGCCTTCTAAAATTATTTTTAATGCTCAATATCAATAGAACGTTCATCAAACCCAAACCAAACCCCAGCCCTCCACCTCAGGGTGCTTCACACTTCCTTGAAGTGAAACACTGTTCTAAAACCTCAGAGCTTGACTGAAATTGTTGTAGGGAGATGAAACACCAAGTTTCATGGTTTGTTTGTTTTTTTAAGCAGCAAAATTATTTTTGTCCTTACTTGGCAAACTTAATTTCCTTGAAGTCTGTACAGTGCAAAGACTAACATTTTAATATTGCTTTTAGAAGTTATATTCAAGTCTTACATATAACGAACAGAGATACCTGCATTCATCTCCAATGACATGCAGAACTGAATATGAAAACAAAAATGAATTGTTGAAGGCACAAATGCATTCCAAGAACTTATTTCTATCTGTACTTGACATCAGCTCTGAGTCTGCTCTTGCCACAGGGTGACAGGAATTGGCCATGTTCTGTTCTGGTAATGATTTTTCCACCTCAGCCTCAGTATGCTTTATGCATGCAAGCCCAGGAAAGCCTGCCTTCTGGGAAAAAGGGAGAAGAACTGAGGAGGAAAAAAAAAATCACATGATGCATTTTGCTTCCTGCTCTGTAGAAAAGGTACTATCCAGGGTTGTTATTGTTCTTTTAGTATCAGCAGCCATGGTGGAGATGTGTGCATCTTACACAATAGTCCATATTTGATCTACAAATTCTTATTAGTCATTCACCCAAGGAAATGTCTGGTGCTGCCTAAGAGACGAGGGGCAAAGGGTAACCAGCAATCAGAACATTCCAGAACACTGAAAGCATTTCTCAAATGTTTTAAAAAAATATTGGAAACCGGAAGAAACTTACTAAAATTGACAGGCACTATGTGGAGAATATGTGCAAAAGTTTGCAGACTTTTTTTTGGTTGCCATAAGTAACACTTCATGAAATATATTTCTTAAAAATATAAAGCATCCTTTCCCTCCCAAATGAAGAAAATAAAAAAAAAGTTTATCAATGTTTAGTACAATAATATAGGCAACCAAGACATATCCAGTCATTTCCTGGAAAAGAACATGAAACTAAAATTTTCAGAATGTCAAGACTCCACAAATGCCACTGTACAAAAGCCACCCCAAATAATTGCTTTCTGCTGCAAGAGGCTTTGGTTTGCTTAAAGTCACCATCCACCATTTGAATGAAGATTTTCTAGCATGTGCAGATAGCCTAAAAAAGTCAAAGAAAAGAAATTCAGTGAAACATTTGATATGAAACCCCCCCCCAATATTCAAAGTACCATAAATGTAGTGGATAGAGTAATTGATGGCACAGAATAAGAAAAAAAACCTGTCTAATAAGGTTATTCACATACTGGGATAGACAATGAAAGGCAAGCAGTCAAAAAGTAAGCCACATCTCAAAAAACCATCAAGAAACTAAATAGTTTGTCCAATGTATTTGATCATAAAAATTTTATTTGGTTTGCAAGATTTTCAACAGCTCTAAACACATTACTACTACTCTCCAACTATCATCTTCTTCTGTTGCTTTTTATAGCATCAATAAATTAGGAGAATATAGCCATTCTGCCCACATCCAATATCCTCTCCCATCCTGCCACCTGATTCCCCTCCAACTGATAAAAATAAATAAAAATGAGATACAGGGAATCAATAACTTTTAGGTTGGCTATCTAATTTTCATTAGGCTTATCCTGATTTCTTATAGATCCCAGGCACGTTGTCAGGGACTGTACATTCATTTTGATGGCTAGGACAGATTTGTCTATGTGGGATAGATTAGGACACTAAGGCAAGACCTTTATAAGATCTGAGATTCCTTTGTGTCTTCTGATTCTAACCTAAGGTGACCGAACAAATAGCTACCACAAGAATCTACTACTTTATTTCTCAGATCTTAAAAGTTTTTTGTTCACTTGTTTCAGTTGTGTCCGACTTTTTGTGACCCCATTTGGGGTTTCCTTGGCAAAGATACTGGAGTGATTTGCCATTTCATTCTCCAGGACATTTTACAGGTGAGGAAACTGAAGCAAACAGGGGTAAGTGATTGCCCAGGATCTCATAGTTAGTATCTGAGGCCAGATTTGAACTCGGGAAGATAAGCCTTCCTGACTCTAGGTCTAGCACTCTATCCACTGCACATTAAAAGTATAAAAGTAGTCAAATCATCCTGCTTCTCAAGCGCTTCTTTTCCTATGAACTCCCCCATCCCTACTCTTGTATTTTGCCTTTTTTTTTTTTAAATTAGTTCAGGCCTATTATTTCATCAGCTTACTCTGTCCACTGAAACAGAATGGTAATTCATCTGCAACCAAGAAATTTGGCTGAGGAATTAAATAACTTGTTCAGAGTAACCCATCCAGTATGTGTAAAGCTCTAGACTTGAACTCAGGTCTTTTTAACCCTGAGACTGGCTTATACCGCAAGGCTTCTCATTTTGCTCAACATGTATATCTTGGGGTCACATAATTTTAAGTTGTGACATACTATTCACTTCCCTGTTGCTGCTGTTTGGAATAATATTCTCATTTACTCATCAGCATTTAGATTTTGAAAATTCAAGCATATCAAGTTTTCTACTTGCAGATTTAAGTTTTCTTTAATAGGTTGGTAGGAGATTGTAATGTGTAGCATTTATAAGATTAACATGTTTAAATATTCTAGTAACAGAATTCTATTATGAGGTGCTTTGGGGAGAGTGAGGATGTAAATTACTGAATGTGTATTTCATGCAAGGGGTACCCAAAGATGCATTAACTATGTCAGGTGTAGTTTTCAGGTACAGTTAGAATATGCGGCTTATACTTGGTTACAATTGTGTTCATTTAAAAGGATTTCTTCCAAATCTTACCCAGTAGTCTGAACTTTTAACTTGTCTTTTCTCCATCAGCTTTTGACCTGGAAGATTTCTCTTTTGCCTGAAAAGAAAACCAAAATTATTGGTGGGAATTCTCCCTTTTCTGTATTAAAAATAACAAACTGAATCAAAGAAAGTTTGAAGAAGAATATGTCTCTTAGTAGTTCAAACTGTGGGGAAATGGGGCAGCTAGGTGGCACAGTGCATTGAGCACCAGCCTTGGAGTCAGAAGGACCTGAGTTCAAATGCGGCGTCAGACACATAACACTTACTAGCTGTGTGACCCTGGGCAACTCACTTAACCCCATTGCGTAACCCCCCCCAAAAAACCCCCAAAACCCCAAAAAACTTTGGGGAAATGGCTAAAAGTACCAGGTAGTATGTAACCCCAGGTTAGTATCTATCTACCGTCTCTCTGTCTACATGTCTGTCTATCCATCTAATCTATAAACTCCCTCATCAGATAGGATCATGCCTTTAATTTTTTAAGGGAAAGGTGTGATCACACTTTTTTTTTGTCACAACATATGATTCAAAATATAACATGAAGCTAAATATTTAATATACTCAGGAGATAATTCATATTTAGCTGTTCTCCATTTCTCTCATCTCTTGGGATACTTCATTGGATATAAGCAAATTACAAGTACATGGAGGTGTCTGACTTATTTTAAAGCATTCCAACACTTCTAGAAAATTTTTTTTGAAGAAACCACATACTTCTATTCCCCAAACTGATAGCTTCTGTCTCATTATGGTATGCTGATTCAGGAAAACAGCCATTCTGAACTAAAGAAATGTCAGAGAATTTGGCATTCATCTAACACAACTTTCTTCCTCTTCCTGAATGCTTTTGGTGACAGGTAGTTCTTTATTCCTCCCATCTATGGATAGCTCTAATTAGCTTATTTTGAGTTGAAATATTCTTTCCTTCCTAATTTCTATCCAGCATTCTGTCCTCTGAAGCAACAAAAATGAAGTCTACTTACTCCTTCTCCCATAAGAAAGCCCTTCAGGTTATTTAAAGACATGGCTACAAAAATATCATGACCTTTGTCAGAGGTCTCATGAAATAAAAACCAACTATCTGTAGTATTCTCTTAATCTTTCATTCTAGTAGCTGCTATCAAAAACATGGCTCCAAAAATTTATTTTCAGGGATTTTATCATGCAATCCCAACATAAATAAGACCTATTGGGCACTTTAGTTATTATGCTGTTAGACCCAAGTCCACTATCACACAAAATGTTGAAAAAAAAGGCTTCAGTAAAAAAGAAATAATTTTCAAAAGGCAACTGTTAAGAAGTCAAGGAAGGGGTCAATTATAGTTCTAAAGCACCAAGTCACTTTTTTTTTTTTAGAAATTAACTTAAAAAAATTTCTTGACAAGAGGGAAATTCAGAAACAGACTATTAATCTTTTCAGTGGCAAAAAGGATAAGCAGCTACTTCAGGGCCTTAAT